CAAAGTGATGGGATTACAGGCATGAGCCCCTGCACCCAGCCCATAGTATTGTGTTCTAAGTAGCTTGCTATTAGTATTTCTCCTTTCAAACTTGAAGGTACCTCTATAATGTAAATCACACAGATGCTGAAAACCCACATACCAACCAACCAACTACAACACTTGCTTTAAAATACTCTCATTTTGGGCTGGGTGCAGCGGCTTATGCCTGTAATCCCAAAACTTTGGGAGGTCTAGCAAGTGGATCATGTTCAGGCCAGGTGTTCAAGACCAGCCTGGCCAACATGGTGAAACCCCTGCCTCTACTAAAAACACAAGAAATTAGCCAGGCATGGTGGTGCACACCTGTAATCCCAGCTACTTGGGAGGCTGAGGCATGAGAATCACTTGAACCCAAAAGGTTGAGGTTGCAGTGAGCTGAGATCGAGCCACTGCACTCCAACCTGGGCGACAGAGTGAGACTCCATCTCAAAAAAAAATAAAAATAAAAATAAAAATAAAAACTCTCATTTTCTATATGTAGCCAATGGACTCCTCATAATCTAGAGATATTTCTACATGCTCCAAACTGTAAGGCCTGGCAAGATGGGTTTTAATTGAAGTTTAAAAGAATGGTGAAAAGTCAAAGACAATAATGTAGGATTTGATTCTGTGATGAAATCCTGGATTGTACAGTTTCCAGGCTGGGCTGAAAGCTTGCAGTAGTGAAATAGATAGTTCAAAGCATCTCCTGGGGCAGATTCAGGGAGTAGGTCTCTAGTGTCTGTTTGCCCTTACACCTGGAACAATGACCACTTGATGTAATTCATTGCTTTGCACTTCCAAAGAAGTGAGGCCAAGCCCGCAGGTTCTCAGAGTCCTTTCCTCCTTTGATTTCTTAGTTTCCCTTTCAGAGCCTTTCCATGACCCTAGTAAATAACTGAGCAGTAGATCTCTGTTAGCTTCCCTGTACCTCCCATTAAATGCCAATAGTACAGCCCACCCACAAGTCAACAAGGCAACCTGCATCTCCAGATGTTCATGACAGGAGAAGAGGTGACATGTTGCTACCATTTAGGAACTACTGTATTGTTTTGGGGGAGCTGGTCTGGAGGAGTCTGCTTTTAAAAATAAATAAGGATTATAGTAATCATTGCTTCAGCAAGAATCATCCATAGATGCCAAATCCGTTGGGTGAAAGTTAGTTGCTGAACAAGATATTCTTAAATTATCTACCTGCAGATTATATGTTAATCATGCAGTATAAAAAGGCACCTTTGCTGTGAAGAAATCTGGTGGCCTTTCCCTTATCCAAGTGATCTAAGTTATCAATAGAAGCACAGACAGACATCATGTGCTTCCCAGTGTCCTGCACTAGGGAGGCCACAACATCACTCTGTCGTGTTCTTGTCCCCACCACTGACCCCTGAAATGGATTACCTGAATCTAAATTTTGAGGAGTAATCAGGCAAACCCAAACTAAGGGCATTCTAGAAAACAACTGGCCAGCACATTAAAAAAATGTCAGTGACAGAAAAGAAAGCCCTAAGGAAGAGCCATGCCAACCAAAGGCCATATTGGATTCTGAATCCAGAATGGTGCAAGGTTGCTATAAAGAACATTTTTGGAAAATCTGACAATTTGAATATGCACCATATATTCAACAACAGTATTCTATCAAAGTGCTGGGATTACAGGCATGAGCCACCGCGCCCAACCTATTGTTGGTTTTCAAAATAAAACATTGGAAGTAACCATATAACTGAAGAAGAGCTTGAGCCATTTTCAGCTACATGTTGTTTGCTGGTCCTATTCTAAAAGCCAGAGCTTGTGCCTGTTTAGGTATCGGATTTGGAGAGACACTGCCAACTGGCTGGAGATTAATCCGGACACTGGTGCCATTTCCACTCGGGCTGAGCTGGACAGGGAGGACATTGAGCACGTGAAGAACAGCACGTACACAGCCCTCATCATAGCTACAGACAATGGTAAGGGGACCTCATCTGGGCCTTTGCTGCCTCACCCTCCTGGCTAGTTGACTTTCTTGCCCCTCCCTTCTTTTGGAGGCAAGAGTTTATTCTTTTTCTTTTATCCTTTTTGTTTGTTGGATTGATTTGTATAAATGTATGGAGTACAAGGGTAATTTTGTTACAAGCATAGATGTATAGTGATAAAGGCAGGGCTTTTAGTGTATCAATAGAAGCACAGACAAACATCATGTGCCTCCCAGTGTCCTGCACTAGGGAGGCCACAACATCACCTCTGTCGTGTTCTTGTCCCCACCACCGACCCCTGGAATGGATTACCTGAATCTAAATTTTGAGGAGTAATCAGACAAACCCAAATTAAGGGCACTCTAGAAAACAACTGGCCAGCACATTAAAAAAATGTCAGTAACAGAAAAGAAAGCCCTAAGGAAAAGCCTAACACATCACCCAAATAACATGCGTTGTACCCATTAAGTAATTGCTCATCATCTACTCCCTCCCACCCCTCGGACCCTTCCCAGCTGCCATTGTTTATCATTCCACAATCTACATCCATGTGTACACATTATTGAACTCCCACTTCTAAGTGAGAACATGCAGTTATTTCTCCTTACATGTCTGATTTGTTTCACTTGAGACAATGGCCTCCAGTTTCATCCATGTTGCTGCAAAAGATTTATCTTTTATTCTTAAAGGCATTCTTATTATCAAAAATTCAAGTGGGCTGGGCATGGTGACTCACACCTGTAATCCCAGCACTTTGGAGGCTGAGGTGGGAGGATCACTTGAGCCCAGGAGTTTGAGACCAGCCTGGGCAACATGGCAATACACTTTCTCTACAAACAGTACATAAATTAGCTGGGCATGTTGGTGAACACCTGTAGTCCCAGCTACTCAGAAGGCTGAGGTGGTAGGATTGCTTGAGTCTGAGAGGTGGAGGCTGCAATGAGCCAAGATTGCGCCACTGTTCTCCATCCTGGGCAACAGAGCAAGACCCTGTCTCCAAAAAAAAAAAAAAAAAAATTTTTTTTCAAGTAATTTTGGTCAGACAGAACTTCCTTTTCACTACACACGCACTCTTTATTCCTTCCCTAAGGGAACCCGACAATGATGGTTTATGATCCAGTTCCAAAGCTTAATATTCATGTGACCTTGGATTTGCTGTTTAATTTTTTTTTTTTTTTTGAGACAGAGTCTCGCTCTGTCACCCAGGCTGGAGTGCAGTGGCACAATCCTGGATCACTGCAACCTCCGCCTCCCAGGTTCAAGCAATTCTCCTGCCTCAGTCTCCCAAATAGCTGGGATTACAGGTGTGCGCCACCATGCCCAGCTAATGTTTGTATTTTTAGTAGAGACGGGGTTTCACCATATTGGCCAGGTTGGTCTTGAACTCCTGACCTTGTGATCTGCCCGCCTCGGCCTCCAAAAATGCTGAGATTACAGGCGTGAGCCACCGCGCCTGGCCTGCTGTTTAGTTTTTATGTCCCTCAATTCCTTTACCTGAAAAATGATAATACTCATGTGGGTGAAATTAGTTAGGTGTTAAATCAGTTAGGTGTGGGTCCTTCCAGACTCTTTCTGTGTATTTAAATACATTTATAGGCTGGGTGCTAGGCTCACACCTGTAATCCCAACACTTTGGGGGTCTGAATTGGGAGATGGCTTGAGGCCAGGAGTTCAAGACCAGCCTGGGCAACATGCTGCCCATAATCTCAAAATGCTGGGATTACAGGCATGAGTTACCATGCCTGGCCTCCTTCAGTTAATTTTAAATGACATATGTTCATTGTTTAAAAAGAAAATTTACATGAGAAAAAATTTTTTTTAAATTTACAGTCATGCCATCTAGACATATCTATTTATCGGTTTGAGATAGATTGTTTTGTATCCCTATCGTATATTCATATTGAAGGTAGTTCCCTGGGTACCAATTTTTCCTACTACCATATGCTTGGTGTTGTGTCAAGATGTAAAAGAAACGCAAACAGAACTGTGGATGGGCTGGGCACGGTGGCTCATGCCTATAATCTCAACACTTTGGGAGGCTAAGGTGGGAGCCCAAGAGTTCAAAACCACCCTAGGCAACATGGTAAGACCCCCTCTCTACAAAAAAAAATTAAAAACTAGCCAAGCATGGTGGCATGCGCCTGTAGTCCCAGCTACTAGGGAGGCAGAGGTGGGAGATGAAGCCCAGGAAGTAGAGGCTGCAGTGAACTGTGTTCATGCCACTGCATTCTGGCCTGGGTGACAGAGTGAGACCCTGTCTCAAAAAAAAAAAAAAGTATATGAACTCCCCAATCTATTTTGAAAACCAATTTGCAGAGACTTAAAAAGACCCAACTCATCCCCTTTGATTTTAAGCTTCTAGTCAGGCTTAAAATTAAAATAAGTAAAATAAAAAGACTCAGTGCTTTGATAATGACCTTAAATGGCATGAAAATGCAGAAAAAGGAGAACTAGGGAAACAGTAGGCAGGCAATAGGACTTCTTGGAGTAGCTAAAATTCAATGAATGAATAATGATATGTAAAGAAGGAGAAGCGTGTCCTTGGTGTGAGGAATAACTTGAATAATTGTTATCAAGGTGGGAATAAGCGTGTCTGTATAAAACAGTCAGAGACCTGCCCACCTAGGAGTGGAGGTCCTTTGGGATTGGTGGGACAGGAGGTTCTGGGGGTAGAGTGGGGGTTGATGGGCAACCACTGAAGAGCCAGGACAAGAACTGGACTTGGTCTGGTGGAAGGCAGTGGGGATTCATTAGTGTTGCCAAACTACTACATTTCCTCTGTATTTTCTCTTAGGTTCTCCAGTTGCTACTGGAACAGGGACTCTTCTGCTGATCCTGTCTGATGTGAATGACAACGCCCCTATACCAGAATCTCGAAATATATTCTTCTGCGAGAGGAATCCAAAGCCTCAGGTCATAAACATCATTGATGCAGACCTTCCTCCCAATACATCTCCCTTCACAGCAGAACTAACGCATGGGGCGAGTGCCAACTGGACCATTGAGTACAACGACCCAAGTGGGTACCTGAGTTTTATTTTGGCAACTTTTCTCCAATGGCCATGCTTCCCTTCCCCCAGATCCCCGCCTCTCAATTTCCCTTCTCAACTTCCAGATGTCACCCCTTCCACTGGTACTTGCTTCCTTATCCCTTCTGTCTTTGAGGCCTTGCTCCAGAGGTCTTTTTCCTTTCCTGGTATCTAACATTGTAGCATGCTACCCAGTAATCTAAACCCAAGCAGGGCTCCCTCTCCCAGCCTCTAGCCACCCTCCACTGCCCTCTCCACTTGCAACCTCTGGGACCATCTTCTCTGCCACCTCCTGCTCCTGGGACCAAGCAACACCGTTTTTGTGCTTAGCTCCTTCTTGCCAGCCAATCATGAGCTCCCAGATTTGTCAGCACTATTCTACCAAAGTGGAGGCAGCTGTCAACTGCCTGGTCAATTTGCATCTGTGGGCTTCCTACACCTACCTCTCTCTGGGCTTCTATTTCCACCGCAATGATGTGGATCTGGAAGGCGTGTGCCAGTTCTTCCACAGATTGGCCAAGGAGAAGCACAGGGGCGCTGAGCGTCCCTTGCAAATGCAAAACCAGTGTGGCGGCCGCACTGTCTTCCAGGACGTCCAGAAGCCATGTTAAGATGAATGGGGTAAAACCCTGGGCGCCCTGGAGAAGAACCTGAACTGGGCACTTTTGGATCTTCATGCTTTGGGTTCCGCCTGCACAGACCACCATCTCTGTGACTTCCTGGAGAGCCACTTCCTAGATGAGGAAGTGAAACTCATCAAGAAGATAGGTGACCACTTGACCAACCTCTGCAGGCTGGCCAGCCTCCAGGCCAGGCTGGGCGAAAAGGTTCACTCTCAGGCACAATCAGGAGCCTACCAAACCCAGTGACATCTGAAGAGCCCCGCTCTGCCTGACCCTCTCCCTCCAGCTACTAGGCAGCTTTTTTTAAGCAACCCTAGAACCCTCTCCCAAGTCTTAGACCAAATGGAAATAAAGCTTTTTACAGAAAAAAAAAAAAAAGTACATACCTAGATAAAACCCAAGCAGCTCTGCTCTCTTCACTCAAGGCACTCAAGTGCCTTTAGTTCACTAACAATTTTATTCTGGAATGAGCTTTTTTTCCTCCCCTGATCTCATCATTTCTTTTTATTGCTTTCTCCAGCCCAAGAATCTATCATTTTGAAGCCAAAGATAGCCTTAGAGGTGGGTGACTACAAAATCAATCTCAAGCTCATGGATAACCAGAAGAAAGACCAAGTGACCACCTTAGAGGTCAGCGTGTGTGACTGTGAAGGGGCCGCCGGCGTCTGTAAGAAGGCACCGCTTGTCGAAGCAGGAATGCAAATTCCTGCCATTCTGGGGATTCTTGGAGGAATTCTTGCTTTGCTAAGTAAGTCCAGCTGGCAAGTGACTCAGCCTTTGACTTAAAAAAATGGAGGAGGTTTATTTCCTGGAAGTTATTTTTGTTCTCATATGAATAAGGATACAGGTTAGCTGATATAGGAGAGAGACTCCCAAGTTATGCTAGCCTCCATAAAATAGAAGTTTGTCTCTTACTGAACATTTCAGAGGTAAATGGTCTCAGATGAGAAGGCCATGAAGTCAACAGGGGACCCAGGTTTCTTCTGTTTCTTTTCATCCTTCAAGTCAGTGCATCCCAGGCTTGAGTGCATACAAATCATCCGGGCCTCTGGTAAACTGGGAAATCTGATCCAGGAGGTCTGGCATAGGGCCACAGATTCTGCATTTCTTTTTTTTTTTTTTTTTTTTTGAGACGGAGTTTCGCTCTTGTTGCTGAGGCTGGAGTGCAATGGCGCTATCTCTCAGCTCACTGCAACCTCCACCTAACGGGTTCAAGCAATTCTCCCGCCTCAGCCTCCTGAGTAGCTGGGACCATGGGCATGCACCACCACGCCCAGCTAATTTTGTGGTTTTAGTAGAGATGGGGTTTCTCCATGTTGGTTAGGCTGGTCTCGGACTCCTGACTTCGGGTGATCCACCCGCCTCAACCTCACAAAGTGCTGGGATTACAGGTTTGAGCCACCGCACCCAGCCAGATTCTACATTTCTAGCCAGCTCCCAGGGGGTACTGATGTTGCAGTTCCTTAGATCATAAGCAGAGTAGCAAGACCTTGGGGGCTGCCCTCATCAGCGTGCTCTAAGCTAGCCAGCTCACCACCACCACCTCTACATTCCATCCTAGATGGGGGAAGGGGATAAGAGAGGAAGTGGAGGCCAAATGACTAGAAGTTGCATATATCACCTCCACTTATATACCACTGGCCCAAACACAGCCACACCTAGCTGCAAGGGAGCCTGGAAGTTTCTACTTGCAATTGAAAATTGGCATGGAGTAGGGGTAGAGTGCAGGATGAGCAGTGAGTGTCAGTGACTAAAAGGATAAAGGAGAAAAAGAATGCTGAGGAAAATTGACAGTTTCTGCCATAGTCCTTAAGCCTGTTTCCATTGGAGCCCACTTGGAGTGAGCCCTAGGGATGACACAGGTGCTATTACGGTCAAGGTAAATACTTTTGTCATTCACACGCAGAGAGAAAATACTGAATCTATTAAAGGAATACATTAGCTATGAAAACAGATTATGTGCATCAAAAGACAAAGTATCCATACGGAGTGCACTACATCAGATCTCTGGTAGGGCTTTAAACATGTGAATGATAGAAGAGCAAGCAAATGATTCTCAAAGCAAATGAGAGCAAGTCAATTAGAAACCTTTGACCAGGTATGGTGGCTCATACTTTGGGAGACCAAGGTGGGAGGATTGCTTGAAGCCAGGAGTTTTATACCAGCCTGGGCAACAAAGCAAGACCCTGTCTCTACAAAATGAAAAATATATTTTTTTAAAGAAATGTTTAAAGATCATAAATAATTAGTGACTGCAAGGAGTGGTCCAGTTCATGAATGCGTTTGTAGTCAGTGTAGTCAGAAAAAGCTGTTAATTGAGTCTCAAGGACAGTTTTGTGGAAGATATAAGTGGTTAGGCCACAGGGACTGGTAGAATTCCAACAGGCGATGGGTATTCAGGAAGGTTCCCCTCCTAGCAAAGCACAGCAGAGGCTTGAGGAGACTCCTAGGAGGACAGAGACCAGGCCAAGCTGGTGGGAATGGAAAAAGATTTTTGGAGGGAGCAGTGGGACCGAATCTAGGGCTTTGCATTTAGATTGAGCATGGGTGCCGTTGATCCTGCTGCTGCTGCCTCAGTGGACTCCAGGAGAGGGTGCCTTTCAATCTTCCGGAAATGTTTGCTGGGCATCCCATTTGCTTCTGCCCCCTCCTAGTGTTCTCCCAAAGTTGAAGTGAAGGATAGTGCTGTTGAGAATTGAGCAAGCCTTCTGGACTTTCATCCTGCCCGGCTTTACATGGCTTTACTGTGCCATGAGATTAGATTAATTCATCATTGTCTTGGGCAGTGTAACACAAGCCCTGCCTGCCCACTTCCTAGTCAAATTACATTTGAGTGGCCTGGTCTGCTTTTGGGATAGTGGTTACTGACTAGTACATTCATTTTAAGGGGAATTATTTTTTCTCCCCTCCCCTCCCCTCCCCTCCCCTCCCCTCCTCTCCCCTCCTCTCCCCTCCCCTCCCCTCCCCTCCCCTCTCCTCTCCTCTTTCAGGCAAGGTCTCATTCTGTGGGCCGGCTGGAGTGCAGTGGAGTGATCTCAGATCTCATCTCACTGCAGCCTTGACTTCTGGGGCTCAGGGGATCCTCCCACCTCAGCCCCCCGGGTGGCTGGGACCACAGGCATGAGCCACCACACCCAGCTAATTTTTTAATATTTTTTTTGTAGAAACAGTGTTTCCTCATGTTGCCCAGGCTGGTCTCAAACTCCTGGTCTCAACCAGTCCTCCCGCCTTGGCCTCCCAAAGTGTTGGGATTACAGACATGAGCTACTGCGCCCAATCAGGGAATCTTAAAGATTGTAGTTATACTTGAAATATTTTTTTAAGAGTAGGATTACCTACATTTGCTATGGGTATATATTTTTTTAGACACTGGGGGTGGGGATTCCCACATAGAACAACATTTAAAACAGAGGCAATGCCAGAATTCAGATGTTCAATTTCTTGTATTTTTACCTTCTATGATTATTTTTTTCTTTCTTTATCAGAGACAGGTTCTCGCTATGTTACTCACACTGGTCTCAAACTCTTGAGCTCAAGTGATCCTCCCATCTCGGCCTCCCAAAGTGCTGGGATTACAGGTGTGAGCCATTCCACCAGCCAATTCTTGTTTCTTAAGGGCAAAAATGTGCTAGAGGCTGGGTGTGGTAGCTCACGTCTATAATCCCAACACTTTGGGAGGCTGAGGTGGCAGGATTGCTTGAGCCTAGGTTTCAAGATCAGCCTGGGCAACATAGCAAGACCTCATCTCTATTAAAAAAAAAAAAAAAATTACTCGAGAGACACCAGGAGATCTGAAGCTTTTCGTGTTTTCCACCAATATTTGGTTGCTTACTCTGTACTAGGCTTTTTCTCAGAGCCTGGGGATACTGGGCTTCTGGCACAGCTGAGAAGAGGCATCTTTTTGGAAACGGTAAAGCTGCCTCTTGCTGTGCATGGATGGGGACTGTGTAGCTCCTATAGTCTTGTTCAGTGCTGTCTCCCTGTGCAGCCACTTCATTGTTCTTGTTGATGAATCATGGACAAGGGAGTTATATTGTTTATCTGGATAAGGTTTCTGGCATTTTTCTGATTTCAGAACTAGGTAGTTGGGGTACCTCTGAGAAATCTTTTCCCCAAGTTTATGCAACCTCCTGTTTAAAGATTATGCTTCGGCCAGGCATGGTGGCTCATGCCTGTAATCTCAGCACTTTGGGAGGCCCAGATGGGTGGATCACTTGAGGTCAGGAGTTTGAGACCAGCCTGGGCAACATGTTGAAACCCCGTCTCTACTAAAAATACAAAAATTAGCTGGGCATGGTGGCAGGCACTTGTAGTCCCCCCTACTTGGGAGGCTGCGGCAGGAGAATCAGTTGAACCCAGGAGGTGGAGGTTGCAGTGAGCTGAGATTGCGCCACTGCACTCCAGCCTGGGCAACAGAGCAAGACTCTGTCTCAAAATAATAATCATAAATACATAAAGATTATGCTTCATAGGGTACAGTATATAGGTACTTGGGCATACATGCCCACGGAATCTTTTTATTTTTCATTCACAGTGAATAATATAATTTTTTTTTAAGTTAAGTGCTTTCTTTCTGACTGCTTTAGAGAATTTTTTTTAAGTTGAATGTTAATGGTATATATCCTAGAAATAATCCCAAGATCAAATGTAACCCTTGTCTTAAGCCTTGGAAGTTAAATAGATGATAAAGCTTGCTTTACATGATTCTATCTTAAGAGAAACTAAGAACATACCAGGCAATTTTATAGTCTCTGTCCTCTCCTCATAGCTGATTATGTATCAGTCACATTTGGGCTGACCTAGGAGCCCTGCTCACAAACCTTCAGTGGCTCCAACTCAGAATCAAAGCCAAGGTCCTTGCAGTGGCCTATATGTCCCTCCCGCCCTGCTTACCCCTCTGAGCTCTTCTCCATGTCTCTTCCCCTCATGCACCCTGCTATAGCCATGCTGGCCTCCTCACCTTCCCTCCATCACACCACACATGCTCCTGCCTCAGGACCTCTGCCGTTACTGTTTCCTCTGCCTGGAACACTTTCCCCCAGATTTGGGAAAATGACAGTGATTGAGTTTAAGACCCATCTGAAAGTTAGGGACCATGCTTGAATTCATGTATCACTGTCTACTATGTTGTACTGTACATACCAACTTCAGGGATGTGAGTGTTACATGGATTGACATCTTCAAGTGTATTGAAGGCAGCTGGTGGCTGTCTGACTGCCCATTGTCTGATATGAGGCGTGCTCTGTGATAGCTGCTGCTTCTGGCCTTCTTTATCTTTGGCTCTCATCACTCTTGCTCTCTCTCCCCCACCACCCCAGTTCTGATTCTGCTGCTCTTGCTGTTTCTTCGGAGGAGAGCGGTGGTCAAAGAGCCCTTAC